ATTAAAGTGATTAATTTAAGTGATTGTTTAAAGTTATTTTATATTTTATAAGGGGCAGATATAATAATTTTTTCTTCTTTCTGCACTCTTTTCATTCAATGTTTTCTTTTTGATGATTTTTTTTTAAATTTTGTTTCATTTAAATGAATGAATAGATAAATTAAATTAGCTGTTAGTCACAGTGCTGCTAACTCAGTCCTCACGTTGTAGCTGGCTGCAAACTGTGAAATGGATTTCCTGAATGTGAGGCGGCTCTTATTACTCTGGGCTCATGAGACACGCCTCCGTTCAGGAAATCCATTCCATAGTTTGAAGCCAACATGCATCATGGATTGGAAATATCGGCAGGAGGATCGGAAAATCCGATACGTAAATTATGCTGGTATCGGAGGCCGATACTGGATCGGATCGGCCCCATCCCTAATAGCAACAACAACAAAAAATGTTCTGAAAGTAAAAAAAAAAAAAAAAAGATATTTTAAGCAAGAACTGTCAGTTTTATTGACAGCACAAAAAAGGTAATAAATGAATACACAAAAGTAAATAAATGGCTCCAAAAAAGTTAAATCTGGTCCTCTGGACATTCAAAAAAAAAAAAAGCAAAACAACAAAAAAATGTAGAAACGTTTCGTCTCTCATCCGAGGACCAGATTTAACTTTTTTGGATTTTTCTACCTGGATTATTGAGCATGCATCAGGATAAATAAATGGCTAATTTTTCCCTGGAGATCCTCCAAATGTTACAGGACATTTAAAAAAGATGTTGCCTCACTGTCAGCAGCTCAGTTAGTAACCATGGTGATCAAACAGGTACTTTAATTCAAGAGTCATAACATCACACTTCTTTTATTTTCATTAAACGTGAATATCTATGTATACAGTAACTAACAGTAACTACGTATCTACGCTACCTTTCTTGTCTTATGGAATAAACCCATGACCCAAATCTTCCCTCCTGTTTCTGAGGGTCTCATGGGGTTCACCTTCATGAAAATTGGTTTATTTTTTGGTTCCAAAATAAATAATTAGCACCCCAAAGGACAAATATTTGCAAGACTATTGGTTTCCTCAATTTGCTTTTAATAGAGTCAGTGCAGAAAGCCACAGAACTAAGATACAATTTTTAATTTGTGAAGTTTTTGAATGTATGCATGTGTGTGAGAGAGGCTGCACACAGTCCTTCTGCCAAAGATCTGCATGCAGGAGACAACAACAAAAAACAAACACTTTATTAGTTTATCTTACTGTCCAAAAAATCTAACACAATGTAATTTTTGAAATAAAGTATTACAACTATTGAATAATCTCATAAAACACACTAAAAAGTAGTAAATAATATATAAATAAGTGTCCATACCATTGTTTATTTTTATCCGAGTATATATATCTGCATTTAAACCTAAATAAATTAAAGATACTTGAGCAGCACCCGTTCAAAAGTCCATGGCAGTAATCACATACAAGCTTCATCATCATCATCATTATTCTCACACTAATCACTGCACAGTTTATTACCACATAAAGACATTGTTTCCTTTTGTCACCTATATATACAGGAGTATCACCGAAAAGGCATTTGGTTGAAAGAATTAAAAAAAAATCTCAAGTTACAATAGTTTAAAAAAATTTAAGGTCAAACATGAACAGCACAACATGACACCAAACTGAGGGTGAATTATTTGGATTTAGAGCAACAACCGTGTTTTTATCGTGAATATTTCACTTTCTTTTTGCTTGTCCTTGGTTATTTAAATGTATTGTATGTAATGTATCTTCTGCATGTAGTTAGCGTACCTCGGGTGGTATTGTGTTATTGAAAGGTTGAAAATTAGCCGTCAATAACAGGATTATTTGCTCTGAAATTAAATAATCTAATATGCTGTTGATGGCGAATAATAAAAAAATCATATCTTTAGACAAATCTGAACAGTTATTACTATTGATGGGACAGTTCAGAGTTTTTTGTAGTTTGTTTCAGTGAAAAGTTTTGATCCATTAATTACCAGGTGTAGAAAGTAGTTTAAAGAGCCTCAATTTGGAAAAACAGCTAAAATTGAATCTTATTAATCAGAATGCTAATGGCTAATTCACGTAAGGCTAACGAGGTCATTTTTAAACAACTCTACTTTATACATTTTTACTGTAAATGTTGCATTACATGTTGATCCTCACTGAAATATTAACAGTCCTGCCACTGTTACAGCTAGCTGCCTTTACTGCTAATAATTAAAATTTATTTATATATGTATTTGTAATGTGAAGTCGACAGCAACATAAACGTTTAGAAATACACGTTCACATAAACCCCACAAAAAATGTTGAGGTTGGAGTTGCTTTAGGGCAGCAGCAATGTGTCTTAAAACAGCTTTACGCTAGCTAGCAGTTAGCTTGTCGATCTGGTCAAAATTAAAATATTTCTTCAAACTGAAAGCAGCAAATAGACGTGATTTATGGGCGTCAAGGGTCTAATTAATGTAATGTAATGCCACTTTAATTGGAGATTTGTCACTTTATCTGTGCTGCTGATTATCCATGCTGCTGATCTCTTGCCTTTAAGCTGCTGTGTTCATACCCATCTGCTCACAACAGACTCATGTTCAGGCTGCTGTTTAATACACCTTATTATATTACAGTATTGTTTAGCATATATCTTAGATCCTTGTATACTGTTTCTTTTATACTTTATATTTTTGGATGTAACTGGGACCTTGAGTACACAATTTTGTTCTACCTCGTGTACCACATGTGATGCAAATGATTACTAGGAGGGTTACTACAGAGCTGCAAGAAAATATTATCATGGAAATAAACCCATAAAGCAGTGCAGAAACAACCGATCAGGTACCATGGAGCCTGTGCCTGGACCCACTATTTTAATCGAAATTTCATGTAAATGATTGAAAATTGTGTGTTTCTTATTTAATAGTCTCTTACATACCTGGACTGAGGCCATATCTGTCTCCATTCTCAGCGTTAACGTACGAGCACGCTCACATGGATTCATAAACAATGTGGTGATTCACATGTGACTTTTCATACAACATAAAACACAATTATTCAGCTGCATTAAGGAGGTGTGGACTTTTAGCTACAAACCTGAACGTCTGACTCTTTCTTTGCCTTAATAAGACCGCTGCGATTGTGATTTGCCTGATATTTTGAGGCTTGTTAAATAAATGTAGGCCTCGATTAATGTATGAAATCACTACGGTGTTTTATATATATATATATATATATACATGAAAATTCCAATCAAATGCAAAAGAATGAGTCATTTTATAAAGTTGCTACCTTTGAAGCATGAAAAAAGTAGCTACAACAGCTATAGCCCATTTAATTGTTTGCAAAAGATTACATAATTTTAACCACGCTTAGTTTTCATGCTGCACAGAAGAAAAGCATCAGTTTTCACTTGATTCTCAACGCACTCATCTTACACTGATTCTCATTTTGTAAACCGTTTGTGCAATATTTAAACATTTTGCCACTTTTCATGAAAACGTGGAGAAAACTGATAGAAGAACCCTGTAAAAAAAAAAGGTAGGAGGAAACATTAAAACTCTTCAGAGAATATACGGTCACAGTATTACAAACCTGAAGGGAAGGAGGCTAATACTTTGAAACACATCTGACATGGACTGATGACTTCCAGAGCAGCGGCAGTGTGTCTCCAACCAAAATGTTTTAGCACAGTTTAACTGAAAGCCCACATTTTACCACAATAAAAATAACAGCATCAGCTAGAGCACATCTCTTACCCTCCTAGGACCTGGCATCCACTTATGCAAGAGTTCGGGTCTTAGGAGGTTAAAGAATGATTATTTTTGACAGTTTGCAGGCTAAAAGATTACAGCAGTCTATTCAGGAATGTATGGAAATAAATTGCAAATCCATATTTTTATGCTTAAAGGAAGTTATATGTTTTTACAGTTAGGTTTGGCAAATGAACGATAACAAAACACAAAATTCTAATAATCAACAAATTAGAAGCACCAGCTTCTTTTTAAATGTTCTTTTTCCCATTAAAATATAAATGTAAATACAGTCTGGTGTCCACCAATCAGCAGCCAATATGTTTTATTTTCCTGAAAGACAGTCAGTTCGTATCGTGTTTATGCCTTTGTTGTTGTTGTTGTGGTGGTGGGCTGTGGATTATTGTCATGGTTGCTGTTTGGCTTCAGGGGTAAACAGGTCAAACTGTTAGTGAGATTCATCAGCGGATGAAAGAACAGCTTCTCAGACATCTTGAGGAACTCCCTGGTCTCTACAGCCTGAGGAAAGAAGAAAACCTTTTTACATGATTGTTATTTATCACATAGAAAAACACAAATAAGAAATGCTTGAAACAAACTTTAGCACATAAAGTTAGAAAATGTGTGTTTGGTTGAACATTTCCTAGTTGAAACGATACTTCTCTTATACTCTTGAAAAGCCTGTTTGTCTCTTAACTGTTGCTACATTTGTGGGTTGAGCAAACCAGTTCTGCTTGTGATAAGATGGTCTCTTTGGTACGCCCCCTCCGGGAACTGGTTTGTTCCACTTTGGAGTAAGCTGTTGGGGGAAGAATCAGTTTTGTTGTGTGTTTCCTTGACTGATGAAGCCTTCCGGATCGAAGGCGAAACATTTCAGCACAAAAAAAAAAAAAAAACTGTCCAGATGACCTGACTGAAAAATGTTGAATACTGACAACACTGTGTTTAATGCTGGAGTCCAGGCGGTTTTTGTGTTTGGTGACCGACGGCAAAATTCAGAGTGAGCTAGTCACCGTGGAGGATCATACGAGCTGCCGACCCATTGAAGCACGCCAGGCCGGGGCTCGGACCCCGGCCTGGCGTGCTCACAACGGCCGGATTCTGAGCCCTGGCAGGCGGTGGAAATCCTACGTCTAAAGAGCTGGTCTGAGCAGAGCGGGGCTGAGTAGGAGTGGTAGAAAAGGGGTATAAGTCTCCTCCATTTCCTCGAGTTTTGTTTTGTAGTTTTGCTGCCACGTCAGACTTTTGCTCCTGTTTAATAAATCTTACATCTTTATTCTTCAAGCTCCTTGTGTCTTTCTGCTTTCCTGGGTCCAATCGCTACAAACCGTCACAATTAGTATCTTATGAGTGTTGTCTTTAACTCATACTCTGACTGATGTCACCACTGATACGTGTGGATAACTTGACAGAACGTCACCTCCATAATGATCTAGAACTGGGAAAAAAAAAGAATAATCTTCATGTGATGGGCTTAGGGTCTGCCTTTTTTTCCACATCATGTCTTTCCTTTTGAATATGATGTTAGACAGGACCCCCAGCCCCCCACAGCATTGCTTCCCTGGCTTTTTCCGAGCTGTGATTCTATATCTGGAGCAGAAAATATCTCCCAATGCGGTGCATAAACAGCAACAGCGGCTCCATTGAACCTCTCTGGTGTTCTTGAGCGAAAGCTTTAAGATCAGTGCACTTCGACAAACAAATTTAAGAAAAGTCTCAGAGCCTTAAAATATCAAGTCTGACTGAGCGCCTGAGAGTAGCTGGAAAAAAAGATAATATGTGTCCTGGAGGCATGTTGACAGATCGTGATAAAAACTCACCGGCGGACTATTAAAGCTGCTAGAGAGGCATTTAAATGAGACTGATTTCTCAAATTTCCTTTTTTAATTTTTTTTATTTGTTTAAGCATTTTTATAAAGTGACGTTGACATCCAAACTGATGAGCCTGTGAAAATACCAAGCATACTTTGTGGGTTCTTGTGTGACCGAGATGGGAGACCATGAGAAAATGTTGAATTTGTGCTTCTGTAATTAATTTTGAAGCTGGGGAGTTCATTTGTTTTACGTTACTAAATATAATCGTGTGGGAATAATAGGCAGAGAGTGACTAATAATAATAAAAATAAACAAACCACCTACCATCAGAAACTTTCAGGAAGGATCGCAGAGAGGGAGAGAAGAGACAAACACAGTTAGCCACGATTTGTTTCACAACTCCTCTGTGAGCATAATGAACACAAAGCACAGGAACGAGGGAGATTTTTTTTTTTAATAATCTGACCTCATTTTTGATTCGGATGCATTACAGGATCAAATGCACACAGTCGCAGTAACACAACTCCAGTTTGAAGGATCAATAAAAATAAAGAGAGGGAGACAGAAAAGTGGGGAAGGCAATATGCATAAAAAGAAGAAAGTGAAGCAAAGGGAGACGGGGTGAGTGGGCAGGAGGTGGGAGGAATAATAACAGAGAAAAAAGGAGGAGAAGCAAAAAATATAGTGAGATCAAACAGAAATGGTCATTAGACAGGGGGAGAGGCAGATGGAGGATGATCAGTAGCAGGAAAACGATACGCAAATCATTAGATGAAGAAAGAGTAAAGGAACAGAGACGTCCTTGAACAGGCAGAGTTATGGGAAAAAACACGTCTGTCAGAAGGAAAGGGCAAAAATCTCATTTTCATAGTAAAAAGGAGTGCAGCTGCCGAGAAGCAGAAACTCCCAAAGCTGCTGGGATGTTTTTCCATGCGTGAATAACAATTAATCTAATAACCAGAAAGCGTGTTTGACTTCATTTTGAGAAGCAGGGCTAACAACAACAAAATGGTTTCATATTCAAAGCTGCAGGTAACGAGGACTGTAAGCAGCAACAGCTGAAGAAGACGAGCGCCCGGAGAGGCCCGATGAACTGATGGAGACCGCGAACAAAAACACACCGGGGGGTGTGGGGGCTGCTCACTCCCACACACACATACACTAATCACCGTACTTCACACACAGACACATGTAGTCTTTCAGGAGCGAGCGCACACTTTGACTGCACGCAACTACACCTCACACTCATACAGACTCACAAAGCAGGCGGTTGTGTGTTAATTCAAAGGCTGCCTGGATACATGGAGGCAACTGTGACTCTTTCTGTGTGCGTTCATGAATCATTCTCACAGAAGAACACATCACTTTCTGATGGAGAAGGTGCTGTTCTTACCAGAGACGCTCCCATCTTTCCCCCTTTTTAGATTCAAAGACGACCCGATACCTGGATTTAAATATGTACCAATCCAGATGAAACCAGAACACGTTTACTGTTTGATTACTAAACTAATTGTGTGTCAACCTCTGGCTACAGATTTGACATTTTATTAAAAGTTTGCATGTTTCCTTCCCTCCATTGATTACGGTGACATTATTTACGTGAACGCTCCTACAAGAACCCTGCAGATGTTGGATGCTGTCTATCATGGTGCACTAAGATTCATAACTGGATCTAATTATCGTACCCACCACTGCACCCAGTATTCACTGGTTAACTGGACATCATTAACCTCACGCAGACTCTCACTGGTACATTTTCATCTTTAAATCACTTCTTGGTCTGCTGCCTTCATACATCTCCTCCTACATGTTTTAGCGTGAGTGCAGCTACAGCGTGCGCTCTCAGGATATTATTACCTGCAGTGTTCCCTCAGTGAGGACTGAACTAGACAAAAGGGTCTTCTCCTACTCTGCTCCTGTTTCCTGGAATATCTTACAAAAAGATCTGAAGCTCTCGACCTTGACTTCTCTAAGTGACATTAAACATCTGTTAAGTTCCTGGCAAGAACCAACGCAGACATGTTCCTGTTTTTAGTTTTCTACACCGCCTTGTAATCTAGCTGTTTTTCCCTACTGTTCCTTTTTAATTATTATTCTACTCCTCGGAAGTGAGTCTACATTTATATCTCCATTAATGCGGCCCGAACCACAATGTCTACCCTCACAAAAGTTATATCAAAACGACTGGCTCGGCCCCGTGATGTGTGCTGTTACTTTTATTGGCATTTCGAGTTACCATGGCGAAGTAATTTGCGAACAAAGACGCAATATTTCACCAACTCTAGGAACTATTTGTTGACTACCCACTTATTATTCTACACCTGAAAAGTGTATATTTTTCAACTTTAATGCGTCCCGAACCGCAAAGTGGACCACCACAAAAGTTATATCCAAACGACCGGCCCGGATCCGAGATGTGTGCTATTACTTTTATTGGCAATCCGCGTTACCATGGCGACACATTTTGCTAACGAAAATGACAAATTTCCCATAGGAAATGAATAGGAGAAAACTTTTCAAAGAAACTGAGTAACGTCGGGAGCCATTTTGGTTCAACATGTATGGAAGGCACCTATTATCACCTATTATTATTATTTATTAGTAAACATAATAATTAACATAAATTATTAATGATTAATTTTAATAATTACAAATAATAACACGAATAATTACTAATATTAATAATTAATATTTAATATTAATTATTAATGTTATTATCAAATATATTCATAGTTTATAGTGATTAATAAATTGACAATATATTATTATTGAATATTAATATTATGAATTATTAATATTGCTTATTAATAATATTTTAATAATAAATAGGCAGTCCCCGTCAAAGTTTCTCCAGGAACTTTCTAGTCCTTCTAATTACCATTTTATTTTCACTTGTTAAAAAAATTGAATTTGTACGCATCCCTTATGATTGTCCATTGTTGTCATCTTTCTTTGTTGAAATCAGGTCTCTCTTGTAAATGAGTCTCAAAGGCTCAATGTGTTAACCTGTACAAATAAAGGTTGAATGAGTGTTGAGTTGCTTAAAGGATCGTTGATCTGTCATTGATATTTGATCCAATGACATCCCATCATATCAGTATTAGATCAACTTTGTAGAATCCAGTGGTGGGCACAGTTCTGCCAATCAGCTAACAGCTGAACTCATTTTTCGTTTAGCCAATTAGCATTTTTGCTAACTTTGGAAGCTGTTAGTGGGATTAGCTTCTTCTAAATTAGGTTTCGCCAACTTTAGGTCCGCTGACAAAATTCACAATCTTGTTCCTGTCTGTTGTGGGCGTGTCTCCAAGAGTCCGTTAGGCACGCTATTGGCAGACTAACAGTACACGTGACAAGACGTGATTGGTTGATGCAGCTTCAACTGGAAGGAGACGAAAACGCGATGCAGACTGAGTGACAGTCATCTTAAATGTTAGTAGTTTAATGTTAGCTTCTGCAACAACAAAAATAGCGTTAGCCAAGTTAACTTTTTGGTTAGCTGTGCCCATCACTGTTAGAATATACTTTTATACTTTAGGTTTCTTTTGTTAAACTAACTTTTAATATGAATTATATGACATTTCTCAATAAACTTAATAAAACATGCAGTGATCACTGGAGGTACATCTACCATAAAAATGGCTGTAACTCAGTCTGTTTGACAGATATTAGCCTAAACATTGACATGGTAGTAGTTCAGACTAATCCCCAGCACATGTTTTGAGTGTATACAAATTACACTAGATCTTTGTTCAAAAATTTTCCTTTACCTGTTTGAACTCAACCTTCCGTCTTTTATTAAAATGTCTCATGATGGATGGATTTTAATGAAATTTGTAGAAAGTAAACGATGGATGTACATCTACACCGGAATAAATGTTAGAACAGGTACAATTCTGTTAATTTTATAGATATTGGGCTAAAAGTTTGGTGTTGTAGTAGCTCATTCACAACACATACTCTGAGTGAGCACTAATGAATTTTGCAACTTCACATGAAATCAAGCATAATGTTATTTTTAATGAGTACAGTTCTATTCTTTCTCAACAAATTTCACCTAATATTATGCATCTTATTCTCTGACAAGTGAGACAACAAACAGCGAGGGAGGCATACTGTTAGTTTAGCTTATTTTTAGTTCTAATTTTATCCACGTTTAGCACGTCGTGGGCTGCAGGATGGAGTGTAGTATTGTGTAAAATCACATTAGTCACATTATGTGCATTATTAATGTTTGAAAAACACTGTAGGATTGTGGTACTTGTGAAAAATGTAAAAGGATAATGACTTTTAGGCGGTTTTCATATTTCATGTATGTTTCTTAATCGCCAAAGTGTACATTATAAACACCTGCTGAATATATTTTTACTATTTTTATTTTCTCATGAGAAAATTTTGAAATTATGTATCTTACTGCAGGCTGTTAGCCCTAACCCCTCAAAATGTCAAAACTGAATAATTTTACTGCTTTTCTGCTGCACAGATTTTAAATTATTTGGGCTTATGTCTAATTTGTAAGAAAATGAAACATTATAAAAAGAAAAAATGCAAATAGAATGAAAACAGCATTCCTTGAAGCAATACATATTACTCACCACCTTGCATGCTAAAACCATCTTGAATCCAGTTGACTCCAACAGGTAATTAATTACACCTTTAATATCTCACTGAGCTGCAACCGCTACAGACTAGATGGACAGAACTGTGGGAAAATCTGAATTTTCTCTTGTTATTTAAAAACATACTGTCTGTAAAGTTATGCGTCAAATGACATGCAAATTCATTTGTTGCAATTTAAGGGCTACTCTCACGAGAACGAGAAAGCAACAGTTTTTGTAAAATTTGTTTAAAGTTTTTCATTGCTTCATCCTTGTGTCCACATGGAAATGGACTTTTACGAGCCATGAGATGGTATTTTATGAAAATGGCTTCTAGAGGGTAAAACAAATGCTAAAATGTCACCCCTGTGTTTTTGTGTAGACGGACAAATCACAACCTTCAGGAAATGATGATTTCAAAACCCTATCTAGAATCTAACCTATGACCCCAGGGCCTTCTCTTCTCATTGTGTTTACTTTTCGCACCCAGCATGTAAACTTCCTGCACATGCTCCACACCTTGTTTCCTGTTTTTGGTGTGTTTTTGTGGCTGTCTTACAGCTCCACCTGCATGCCTGCCATAGTTACGACAGTGTTTTGTGACATTCTGGGCATTTTATATGGATGCAGACATTTGTAGAAACTGTGCTGTTTTTAATCGAATATGTTTTAGAAACATGAACTTAAATAATAATTAGATCAGTCGCAATAAACAATAAATAAACTAATCGCGTGATAAATGAAAATTATCTACCTCATTTTCATTTATCGGCTATATCGTTTCTTTGTCTCTCTTTTTCTACTGAAGACACTGGATGACAAAAGGCTCAACTCTGCGTTTTTGGATCACTAAAAGCAGCTAAGCTGAGAAGCTAAGCTACGAGCTAAGCTAACAGGCCAACCTATGAGAAAAAACCTCCGTCTTGTCAAAGCTCCAAAAATTCACAGTTGAAACCCGTGCCTTCACGTAAAAAGTTGTTTTTCTCTGCAAAAAGAAGCTGAGAACTTGTTTACTGATTTTTTTTATTAAAAGCTTTGTGTGAAAAATGCTACGCTAAAGAGCTTAAACCACACCAAGTGTCTGCCATTTTGAGAACCGAAAAAAGGAAAGAGAGACAGCCCATGTCATGTCAAGGGGCCTCCCTCCCATTTTTCTTAAAGAGACGTTTGTTCCCTCACTATCCATCCTTCGGTTCAAACAGTCTTATACTGTCATCTTGTGGTCAAAAAAGGTACTACACACAAAAATTAACCAACATTTATTTTTAAATATGACAATAATTACTAACTATTGTCAAATTTCAAACAATATTATCGTTTATCACAATAATTTCTGAGACAATTAATCACCCAGCAAAATTTGTTATTGTGACAGGCCTAATAATAATAATAATAATATTTTAGGTAAAACTGTGTGGAGAAAAGCCTTAAGGTGATATCTGACAGGGCTGTGAGCCGCTGGATAACTGAACTTATGAGGGAGTTTCCTGAGTGTCTCACAATTTTTTTAGGGTCCTCAACTTCTTTGCATGAGTTGCAGAGGTGCTCCACCTTGGCTCGAGTTTAGAATAGAATTTATTGCCATTTGCACAGATATATTAATATAAGCACAATGGTATTCTTGTGCGTTTCTCCAACTCAAAAGTAGTAAAAGTTTATAAAAAGATTAAAAAATAAGGATAAAATAGGCAACAATGTACAACTAAAACAAACGTGTTTTGAACAAGTTAAAAGAAATTGTCACAACTCTCCTTTTAAAAACAGACATTGTGCTCTTCCCCAACCCATCTTAGCAGCAAACAAGCAATAGTTTGGCACCAGCATGGATCTCCACTGACAGAAAATAAAAGTTGAAGTAAAAAAAATCTCAATCATTTAAAAAGTTGATCGAATCATAAACATGGCGGCAGCTGCTGCAGTGAGTACATGAAAAGTCTTGTTTTTTAAAACTGGCCACTCAAGTCATGGACACACAGTTCCATGGTCACTTGGTTGCAAATGCTGAGTTTTGTTAGGATTCACATATTTTCCAGCAACTTTCCTGCAATTTCAAAGGGATTTTTTTCCATCAACAATCCCAGCTCAGTGAGATACCACCTTTAGTCGCAATTTGTCTTAATTATGTCTGAATCACGTCTTATTTAGATCACGACGTAGTCTCTTTTTTTGTCTCCAATCACAGTTTGATTCGTCATCAAATTCTCACGTTGCTGTGTCAAGTTTTAACTTTTTGACTTGAGAAAACTCCCAACTCTTCGAAACGTTTTGAATGTGTTAAAAACTCCTGCGAGGCAGGTCATGGTGCGACTGGTTCAAGAAAACTGAACCTTTTTCAGATGTTTTCCTTTTTAATTGTAGGAAAAGGTACAGATGGTTGATTACTGACTTGCCAGGATGACCATGTCCATTCCCCAGAAGATGCTCATGATCCACCCCACCATGATAACGGCTGTCAGGATCTGGATGAGAGCTGCTGCCACGTTGAGCCAGAACACGCAGCAGACGCCTCGCTCTGAGATCAGCTCACTGCGAGCTCCACACAGCACGCTGAACGCCGAGATGAATGTACCTGCAAGATAAAAACAAGTCCATGGTTTATTGAAGAGACTCTCATCTCGTTAACATATTTGGCTCAGTGCTGCTCATAGATCGACGTGATTGAAGACTTTTCAAGTGGTTTTCCACCTTCATGTCCCTTGAGCTCAATCAACGTACTCAAATAAACCTGGACACGTTAAAAAAAAAACCTTCACGCACAAGTTTAACTCAGATTCACAGCCCTGAGCCACAATAACCTAGAATGGATTTGTAGGAAATGTGCTTCATATTCCCCATCTTAATTCAGCCTAATAGCATTACGCTACCTCACAAATTAGATTATGAGCACAAACAAACAGCAAGTGATGGAAGCGCAATTAGTTTTACAAAAAATTAAGAAGCAGACAGTCATGTTTTTGACAAAAATTCCCATTTGATGAAGTTCTAATTTGTCAGAAGTCTAACTTTGAACCATTAGGGTTTTCAGTATTCAGAGATTATACCATGACACACACATTTAAACACACATCTGAGCAGCTCTCCACTCGTTTCACACCCATCCTACTTACACTGTTGCAAATATAATTTAAAATAAAGTCAACCTGCGTGGAGGTTTGTAGCAAATGCTATATTTATCAAAGTAAATTAATAAAGTGTGATAGCTGGTTGTAGTTATAGTGTAATCACACGTGGGTAAAATCTGCCCCCTGTACTTTCCATCAAACATGTAATGACTTTAAATCGAAACAAAATAACTTTAAAGTCAGTCAGTGAAAACTAACATCAGTAAATCTGACGATGACTTAATGCATAATCTCAGTTAAACATTTTTACTGTTTAGTAATGTTGGGTTAAATGTTACATGGGTTAGTGCTTTTGTTGTCCCAGAACAACTTCTAAAAGGGAGGAACACAACAAAGAAAAACAGGCTAAATAATAATTCAATTCAAAAATACTTTATTAATCCCAAAGGGAAATTAATCGTTGTTGTAGCTCATCTTGGTTTCATTAGAGTTGTTTCTAGATGCTGATAGTTTTGGGCAGGAAGGATCACTTGCAGTCCGTCCCATAACAGATCTGAAGAAACTGGCTGCAGATGCCGATCCATCCACCTAGACCCAGCAGACCTCTCGTCCTCTTGGGCAGCAGAACTGCCTGAATGCCAAGCAGAACTCCTCCCCGAGCGATGGCCATTTCTCCCAGCAGCCTGCCGAGCCCCTCGTTACTGCGGACTTAACTGCAGGTGCCGGGGGTACGATCTCAGTCCTCCTGCTGTCACTGTGCCCTGCTACTTCCAAGATCTCGGCGGTCAGGCACTTGAGCACAGCCTCCAGGTAGACGGTAATGCATCTACGGCACCTCCTTTTCAACACATTTGGGATTTGGGGCTGTAGTTGAGGTCTTATTTGACCTTTTGAGATGTTAATCAGCAACTCTCAGTTGTAGAAAACCACCTTGTTGTCATGGTTACGCATCATAACAAATGTCCAAAAGTAAAAAAGGTTTCAGTAAAAATCCTTCCAGCGGCACAGCATCTGATACCAGAAAAAGTAATCATCCAAAAAAAGAGTGATTTAAATCCAGAAAAATTAGTAATTAAAGTTTTCAAAAGCAAAATCTGAGAACGAATGTAACAGAGCTACTCCAACACGCAGCCACCTTGAACGGCGCAGTTCTGGAACTAAACACTAATACAAAAACAATAAACTCAAGATCATGCAGATGGCATTTCATAAACTTTTACACTGCAAGCAGTTTTGCATTATATGATTATTTCAGCAAAAATATGTTAACATTCCCACAAAAAGTGCCCCAGCATGCACCATTAATGCTACAGCTAGCAGCTGCTGCTGTCGCTATTTGCGCTTGAAAATAAACAAAAATGTTAAGTAAATAACCAAGTAATACAAAATAAACATCAAAGTACATTTAATAAGGTATTGTTTGATTGGACCGATATATTCAATTTAAAAATGGAGTTGTTTGAAGACACCAGCGTGCCACTAAAAATAAATTATCTGCTTGCAGTGGTCATTAACTCCTCAGTTTGATCAGAAATAAACTTCTCCAAACTGAGGTTGTTCAAGCACTGCCTACAACAGGTAAAATAATCATTTACTGTGCAACTGCTCTACAAAACACCATGTTGCTTTAGGTTAACATACATATTGCAGCCACAGTGTTTGAGCTAACAATGCTACCAGTGTTCTAATAATAAATCAAATAATTTCTAAAATCCCTCCAAATTATTGGTCTGGGAGAATATTTTCTGTTCCTGTTTGATGGCTCTATGTGGCTCTCTGGAGAGCAGCTCTTGCCAACCGCTGTTGTAAAGAATTTGATTGTAAAACCTTTGCAGCAGAAAAATCTATAGTTTATTATTCCACATCTCGTCTTATTATCCAATCAGCATCCGTAAGTAAGTCAGTACCTCACCACTGTAGTATCATATCCAAATAAAGTGCACACACAGAAGCTGAGAATAAACAGCTGAAACAAGATCATCTCTCTGTGGGCCAGCCTCATCTGTCCGAATGGACCATCACTGCCTTCCTGTTATCTGGTAGCCAGGACCTGCAGACCTTTCTTGGTACTGTTTATTGAACAGTAAATGCTCTCAGTGTGTGTGTGTGTGTGTGTTTCACATAAAGGTCTCGGTGCACACAAATCATATTACTCTATGTTTCCATGACAACACTTGCTCATGAAAAGAATGTCCTGTATATAAAGGATGAATGTACCTCATATATTAGATGATAGTGCTTCTTAAAGTGTTGTACACTGCTTTATACAATATTTCTTACAGTGTTTTACAGTGATTCTTGAAGTAAAGCATTTTACATTGTTTTATTCAGTATTTCTTATAGTGTGTTACAGTGTTTCAAAGTGATTTTTCATACAATTTTTCATATTGTGACTTTTTAAAACCATGTTTTTCAGTGTTTCATACATTATTTCATACTGCGATTTTTTTGTGTGTGTGCGTTTTAAGCAGTGGTGGGCACAGGTAACCAAAACGTTAGCTCCGCTCATCACTAATCCGCTTTTTAAAAATAATAGCTTTGCTGATGCTAACTGATAACCGCTAACTTTTATCATACACTGCTGTCGCTGACACAAGACTGTCGTGACAGTGTTGTAAGTGAATTCAACTCAAAATCATTCACAAATCACAGGTAAAATGTCTGTATCCTGTTCAGAGGTGAGCTTAAGCAATTACTCCGGTCCATCGAAGCCAAAGAGGCGAAGCAGAACTCTGTTGTGCTGAAGCAGCGTGATGCATTCAATGTGTGTCGGACGTCCCCCTTGTGCCATTTAATAATTGTAATGAATTGACTCACTTTAGCATTCCTTGTGGTAAACTATTTTCTTAAACTAACATCAGCATTGCTATGCGTCCTCATCAATCTCTCCATAATAAAGCTGTTTGTTTTGGTTTAGTCCTGCGAGTCGGCGGTCACAGCTAATGTCGTCAGCTCAGACAGAGCTCCCACACCATGGGAGAAATAAACAGATTGTCACTCCGACCTTTCTATTTGCGTTTCTGCTTATTTAGTTCTTATAATTAAACATTATTAGCAATAACAGATTAATATTTGTAGGCCCATTTACCTTTATTTCATTTCCCCCCAAACTCACGAAGCTCTCTTTGTGAGAGAGTCACATCCCAAAAAAGACTGTGTGCATAGCAAAGGATGCTGGGTAACCTTGTAGGAAATATGTGTGCTTTGTTTCTTACTGGTTATGATGTTTCTGTGTGTGGAAATGGGTTGTGCTTGTTAATGTCCTGTTCTGGTTTGGTTTGGCATTTATGTCAAAATCTTTGTTATTGGTTGTAAACTCAACGTGAGTCAGAGGTTGTTCCCAGTATAAAAGGGGGAGGGAAAGCACTAATTGGGTCAAAGGAAGTGTCCTTACTTAATGGTAATGTCACCACGTGATGCTTAGTTTAGCATAGCGTTATTCTGTGTAAGTCACCATTCACCTGTATGCTTTTTGAGGGGTGGACAGAGGTCTTCAGAATTTGATAGCTGACAAGTTTCCAGTGCTCAACATAGCAGAAGCTAATTTGGTCCTATAGCAGTTTCGAAAATTAGCAAATTGCTAATTCGCTAAGCAGAAAGTTAGTTCTGCTATTGGCTGTTAGCAGTTTAGCAGAACCGTGTCCACCTCTGGTTAAAAATTTGTTGTTTTTCTCCAGTGATTCTCCAGTATTTTACTGTGTATTATGCAGCGGTTCTTACATTTTATACTACACTGTTAGTGTTGCTATTTCATGTAGTTTCAGTATTTGCTCTAACCTGCTTGATTTTTATCATCCATTCATGGTTGAAATGTTGGCACTGCAGCAAACATTTGAGGCCTTAGCTTCCTCAATTACATTTTTGAACACTGGGTTTAAATAAAATTGTATATTATTATTAGGACTGGACAATAATTCCTTCCTAGTCCTGTTTTCAAAGCAGGACAACAATACACTTTGCAAAGCTAACTACTTCTGTATACTTTAAACTATTTTAGCCATTAAAAAATCAGTTTTTTCAAAAGATGGAATCTATGACTTGGAATTTGCACTTTTAAGTTTTCCACAAACTTATCTTTATTTATTAATATTTTTCTCACAGCAGTACATTGAAATCTTTTTGAAATCTGCTTCTGCATGCTGGTTCTTTTTTCTATTTTTTTGTCTTCTTATGCTACTTTTAGCGTTTAGCTAGCCTTTTGCTACTTTTGTTTATTAATCACCATTCTATGTTGGCAAGCCTTCGGCTATATAAAAATTTTAGCTATGTTTTTGCTACTTTTTACTTTTAACAAGGCATTAGCCACTTTCAAATTTTTGCTAGCATATGCTGCTTTTAGCTTTAAGCCAGACTTTAGGTACTTTTAACTGTCTTGGTACTTTATTTAATCTTTTGCCACTTTTAGCTAATCTTTTGTTGCTTTTTTTCTTTATATTTGGCTACTTTTGCACTTTAGCTATAGCTGTTTGCTATTTCTAATGCTTGGCTACTGTTTTGC